CCCCAAAACCCCAAAACCCCAAAACCCCAAAACCCCTATAAATATGAATTTTATTGAATTTAATTAATTTATAAGAGGAGATAAGAATTAGATGAAAGTGAGATTTTGATGATTAAATGGGTGTTTAGGATAGTAGAGATTATCTGAGAGTGTATAAAGAGAGTTTTAAGGTAAGGATGTTGGATTTAGTTGGCTATGGTTTTTTAATTTTGAAAATTTGAAAAGTTTGAAGTGAGTTTTGGAGAGATAGAATTGTATGGACTTTGAGGGAAGTTATGATATTTTAGAGGTCTACTACTAAGACTATGCCAGTGCATCCTGCTCAAGATAGAGGGTAAGATATTTTTAATTCAAAATATCAAATAAACTCCTTTTCAGATTAGAATACAATTCATTAGTATGATTAAAATGAAAGACCCAAGATTATGAACAATATGATAACAAATTAATGGAATATTCAGGCCGAGGAGAAGAGTACCCTATCAACTTCTCAGAGCTTGTAGAATCTACTGAGGTAAACTCAATGCTCAGTTCCCAGTCTAAAAAGGAAATCCATCAGGCATTTTGCATTACAATGTATAATGAGCCCTACATTCAAGTACTTCAGTCTTTGGCAGGAGTCTATAGGAGTTATTATGAATTACTCGAAATTAACAAGAAATATAAGAACAAATTCTGTATTGTCATCATATGTGACGGTTATGAGATCTTCACTAAAAGTAACCCTGAGCGGGGTTCAATGGATAACTGAGACCGATTCAAAGAAGCTGGACTGTATGACCCCAGAAGGTCTATCTATTATTGGAAAAGTAGAAACCTCCCTGATGACAAATATGAGAAAGCTGAGCAGAAGTATGAATATGCTGATATTTCATACCTAGATCAACTCAAGTATGATCCGAAGGAATTCGTTGATGTAGAATTTAACACCAGTAATTTAGCACACTGATATTCCAAATCTATGCGGATTGAGGATTTTATGAAAGGCCTCTCTCATTCTGAACAAGAAGGCTTCCGAATTGACAAGCTTTCAGTCAATGATTACCTCTATGGGAATCATGACCAAAGAAGAATCAAATCATGGAAGTATGCTTCTATGCCTATTGATGTCCATCTTGTGATCAAGCATGCGAATCGGGGTAAGATAGAGTCTCATTTATGGTTCTTTAAAGGCTTTTGTAGTACTATTAATCCTAATTTTGCGACAATCATTGATGCTGGGACAATCACAATGTGGAATTCCATCTCTCATCTTACCCAGTTCATGGAATGCAGTCCTGATACTGGGGCTGTATGTGGAGAAATTGAGGTTATGCTAAATGAAAAGAACATTGATGGTTCCGAAGTAACCTTCTTCCAAAGCATTCTCCTCAGATCCCAGTATGTTGAGTATAAGCTAGGACATTACTTAGATAAATCTGCAGAGAGTTTATTTGGTTATATTTCTGTGCTTCCAGGCGCATTTAGCATGTTTAGGTGGAATTGAGTCAAAGATCAGCCACTAGAAGAATTTTTGAGAGGAATCTCTATTTCTGATCCTTCAAAGCCTTACCCAAGTTGACCTGAAGGGAACAAGTTTTTAGCTGAAGATAGGATAATGCCATTCGAGATAATTTCAAAGAAAAGTCAAAGTTATGTCATTAAATACGTTCCTGGATGCAAAGCTCTTACTGATGCACCCAGCGATTTTAAAGTCCTGATGAAGCAGAGGCGTAGATGGTTTAACGGTTCATTATTTGCTACTCTATATGTCTTAACAAATCCATGGAAAGTCTGAAATAGGAAAGGAGTTTGTCGGTAGCTTTTTCTATTTGTTGTTTTTCTTATATATGGCTCTGAACACGCTATCTGGACTTCTTCTAGTAGGCTTATATTATGCGACATACAGTATTTTTTTACGATCAGTGTTCCCAGACTCTGTATGCTTTGACATTACCAAGACAGCTAATATTTTGGAGAATGTTTACCTTGCACTTGTGTTCTTGGTACTAATCCTGAGCACTTGAGTGAAACTAGACTGGTGCGATTGGTACTTCAAAATAGCTGCTATCTTCATGGGTATATTCTCTATCTTAATGACTGTCGTTGTAATAATCTCAGTAATGCAAGTACAGATAAATGCGAAGGTGTACATCGCCACTTTGGGACTACTCTGTACGTATATTTTACCAATGCTGTTGAATATTCGAAATCTGAAGTTCTTGAATTTTTGGAAGGGTACTTTTTATCTATTTCTTCTGATGCCTACTTATATCAATATCATTAGTATATATGCTGTTGCTAACACCCATGATGTCACTTGGGGCTCCAGAGCGCCTCCAAACTCTCAACACAAGGAAACTTCAAGAGAGAGGAAGCAGAGAGTAGAGTATGAGAATTTCAGATCAAATTGGCTAGTGTTTTGGATTTTCCTGAATATTCTTGCAGGCTGGTCAGTCATTTTTATATCAAGAGAGGACCAAACTGAATATTTGTTCTATGTTGTAGCAGCGATTGGAGCTATTGTTGGATCTAAGCTATTCTTTTCTATCCTGTATAAAGTCATGGTAAGCTAAATCAATCAGAAAGCTTTAATACTTGAAGAATAAAAATTTAGCATCTAATGAAATAAACTAAAATATTTCATTTCAAAGTTTATTTTGAAAAGAGCTTAGCTTCAAACTTTTGAATTCGAAATCATAGGAGTATTTATAAAATTTATCTTGAATTTGTCTCTTCAATAAGAATGCAATGTTCATATGTTTAATCTAGTACCTATGAGTACACAAGAGATTGAAAAGGAAAATTCACAAGTAAATTTTTTGATAATTTGTAGCCAGAAGAAGGAACATGGTTATCAATTTGATTTAGAAGAGAAGAAAGAAGATAGAAGTAATGATTCAGCTTCCCAAAAGTTTCATAACTTGTGGAGGACCAGCCATGCTGGCTTTCCACCGGCTTCTTATGATTCAGAAGGTCAGTTAAGAGTTGATTCGAGCGAGCCTTTAGGCTTTTTTGAAGGAAAGGTACCGTATTCTTTTGTTAATTTAAAGTTAAAATTTTGCAATATTTCCAAGACCATTCAAAAAATTAAAATTTTCAAATATTTTATCTCAATAACCCAATTTTTCCTCACTAAGACATTAAAAATTACCATTCCACATATTTTTGACCTCTCTGTTCCACTCAAATCGATTTTCCACTCCTTCCATACACTTCACCCTAAAATTTCCCTACTAAATCTCTCTCTACCACTCAAATCCCCTAAAATTCTAAAATAATTCGAAACTGTCTTTAGTCACTAAATTATTCAAATCCAGATTTTCACTGGGAAATTTTGGGATTTTAAACTTTTAAAATTTTGTTCTAGAAATTTAGTGATTTTTATAGGTTGATTCAGACGCAAGTGAGAATGTAAGGGAGAGTAGTGAGGATGGAGGGATGAGGGAGGAGAGAATGGGAAGAGGAGGGCTGGATATGCCGTTAGAGAAGGTGGAAAGGAGGAAGGAGAGGTGAGATTTTAGGGATGAGAGTGAAAGGAGATGAGAGAGGGGGATTTCAGGTAGGGGTTGTTTGGGTATGTGGTATAGGAGAATTGGAAAATCGTCAATTTGGGCATTCTTCAGAGGAGGATCTGTAATGATGTTATAATCAAGCAGTAGAAGGATTTTCTCAAGACTTAAAATTTATACATTTCCATACAATTTTCCATAAACCTTCTTAAACCCCTTCCTTCCAAAAGCCTTCTAAGCATAGATCAGAGATCTCCCTCTACCATTAAATCTGCAATTTCAATTTCTTAATCCAAAAATGGGGTTTTGGGGTTTTGGGGTTTTGGGGTTTTGGGG